AGAGCACAAGGAAGCCTTTCGGAAAGGCAACCAGGGCTAACCATCCTCTTGAATTGGTACACTCTGATATTTGCGGACCAATGAGTGTTAGGGCACGTCACGGAGCATGGTATTTTATTACCTTCATCGATGATTCTTCCCGATATGGCTATACTTACCTGATTTCCCACAAATCTGAGGCATTAGAGTGCTTTAGAAAATATCTCAATCTAGTGGAAAATCAGCTAGGTTCAAGAATCAAAGCCTTAAGAACTGACCGAGGCCGAGAATACCTCTCTGATCAGTTCAAGGAGCTCTGTGAAGAAAGGGGTATTGTTAGGCAACTAACAATCCCTGGCACTCCTCAACAGAACGGAGTTGCTGAAAGGAGAAATAGAACTCTCCTCGATATGGTTAGATCAATGATGGCACAAGCTGAGCTTCCAACCTCATATTGGGGAGATGCTCTTTTAACTGCCACATTCATACTTAACCGAGTGCCTTCTAAATCAGTCACTACAACCCCTTATGAATCATGGACAAACCGCAAACCGGATCTAAGCATCCTAAGACCATGGGGGTCAGCGGCCTATATTCGTGATTCTTCCCATAAATATGACAAGCTAGAACCAAGGGGCAAAAAGTGTATCTTCATAAGATACTCTGAGAACTCTAAAGGGTATGTCTTCATTGGTGAAAATGATGACGGCTCAGTGACTGAGATAGAGTCAAGGGACGCAACATTCATAGAAACCGAATATCCTAGCAGAGGGAGTATTGATCGAACAAGCCGTCTTTATGAGGATGATGGCAATGAGGTACAACAAAGTGTTCCTCAGTCTACTGATCCGAGTGGGAGGGTTGACCATTTTCACAACAAGGTTTAACCCAGTCACAGGAAGTAAGTCCTACAACAACCCCACTTAGGAGAAGTAACAGAGACAAAACTCCTAAGAGACGCTTCTCAATTGAAGGAGCAACCTTCATCGTTAGTCCAGAAAACGATGAAGAAGACCCCGTAAGTGTTAAAGAAGCACTAACAGGACCTGCTAAGGAAAAATGGCAGAAGGCCTTACAAGAGGAAATGGATTCCATGGAATCCAACCAAGTATGGGAATTAGTTGATCTACCACCTGGCCGAAAGGCAATTGGGAGCAAGTGGGTTCTCAAGTACAAACGTAAGGCTGATGGATCAATTGATAAACCCAAAGCAAGGTTAGTTGCCAAAGGGTATACACAACGGGAAGGAGTGGATTACGCAGACACCTTCTCACCTGTTGTACGTTTCAACTCGATACGACTGATACTGGCTTTAGTAGCAAGTTTAGACTTAGAGTTACATCAGATGGATGTAAAAACCGCTTTCTTGAATGGAGAACTAGATGAGGAAATCTATATGGAACAGCCTGAGGGCTTCATACAGAAAGGGAACAAACAAAAGGTTTGTAAACTCTTGAGATCCATTTATGGACTCAAGCAATCATCTAGGCAGTGGTACTTAAGGTTCCACAAAGCCATAAGCTCCTATGACTTTGAAATGATCGAGGAAGATCACTGTGTTTATATCAAGCGGTTTGGAGACAACTTTGTCATTCTATCCCTCTATGTCGATGACATACTACTGGCTGGTACCAATCTGAAACTAATAAAGATGATCAAAGAGTGATTATCCTTGAACTTCGAGATGAAAGACATGGGCGAAGCAGAATATATCTTAGGTGTTAAGATAAGAAGAGATCGTTCTAGAAAATTGCTGTCATTGTCACAAAAGGCATACATAGCAAAGATTCTTGAGCGTTTCAATATGAGAGACTGCAAGCCTATGGATACCCCTGTGGTTAAGGGACATAACCTAAGTGAGGAAATGCACCCTACAAAACAATGCGATATAGAGCGCATGAAGAGAGTCCCATACTCAAGTGCCGTAGGCAGCCTAATGTACGCCATGTTGTGTACCAGGCCAGACATATGCTTCACAGTCGGACTTGTGAGTCGATTCCAATCCAATCCAGGAGTCAAACACTGGGAAGCTGTAAAGAGGATTATGAGATATCTAAAAGGAACCATGGACTATGAGCTATGCTATCAAGGAAACGGCCTTCGTGCGAAGGGTTATTCCGATGCTGATTGGGCAGGAGACCTGGACGAGCGACACTCGACGTCAGGCTATGCTTTCCTACTGAATAACGGAGCAATCTCCTGGAGCAGCAAGAAACAAACGTGTGTGTCCTTGTTCTGCGGCTGTCCAAGAAGCTGTGTGGCTCAAAAGATTCTTAGTACGATTGGGAATCCATGGTGAGAGTGAGGGACCAACTCTAATTCACTGCGATAGTCAAGCAGCAATAGCCTATGCAAAGGACCCTAAGTACCACAATCGTACTAAGCATATAGACATAAAGTATCACTTTGTAAGGGATATGATCGCTAAGAAACAAGTGACAGTTCAATACTTGTCCACTCATAAGATGTTGGCAGATCCCCTAACCAAGCCTATAGCTAGAGATCCTTTCGTCAAGCATGTAAAGGCCTTGGGCATGCGTAGAGCATGATGTATTGAACCCCTTTTTTTTTCTTTTTGATCCTTTTTGTTCAAATACGCAGGCACAAGGCATGTTGTACTGAACCTTTTTCCTCTTACTTAGTAATTCAATGCATTTTATCCAGTTCAAAGAAATTTTTCTTGTATATTTGTGTATTTATACATGCATAGGCACAAGGTATGCAATACAAATATGTCGTACAGGTCACAAGGTTGGCTCACTCACACGAGCAACCGCCTCGCTATGTTCTCATGGGATATAGAAGGTTTGACAGCAGATGATCACCATGAGATGGTAGAGAAGAATCACTGCGCAAATGTCACCTCAGCTAGACTGAGATGAGACCCATAAAAGTTTAGGCCGAATCATGGATAATGTGTCGTCCATGAGACCTGTAGCCAGACAAGGAACTCTTCACTAGTAAGACGTCATATATAGTTGTGATGAAAGAGCTCCTGGTTCAAATGTTGGAGTGCATTTGGAACTTAAGTCTGTGCGGTGCTATTAAAACCAAAAGCGACATACTCCACTTGGTGGATTGAGCATCGTAGCATGCAATTCATATTGCATGAGCTCACTCAAATCCGCAACAAGGGACGTAGATGGAAGATCCCTGATCCATTACGGTGTGAGTCCCAGAAAGGAAATAAAACCTTTCATAATGCCCTTAGGACTTAGACAACATCACAAGGTTTTGGTTTAGTGGCAGCTACTCTAGCCTAAACCCCATGGTCAAGAATGATGCGATCTAACGGGTCAAGACTGAGAAAGCGACTATGCCAAATCTAAATGATGAATAGTCAGAAGGAAGATTTATCCTGAAATACACATCTACGTTGGTGTCTGTGACATGTCCCTTGCAGGTTGAACAGAACAACTAAGCAAGTGTGGATACCATACGTATGAGAAGGCAATCTGAGTAAACAAAATAACTCGAGAGGGATTAGATATGCCACAAGTAAAGTGTATGGATAAAACTAGGGCATTCGAGGCAACAAGTATATAATTTGCAGGTACACCAAGGGTGTTCTTGTGTGCTGGTCCTGCATAAAGGATTCCTAGTGCACAAGCACCCGAATCGATGACGTCATGCCCACGCGGTCACGGCAGACACCTAGTATGAAGCAATGAAAGATTTAGCTATCGCACGATGGGCAGCCCATCAAGTGCGAGTGGGAGATGTTAGATTTTTGGGCTTGAATCCGCCCTTGATGGGCCGGATTATTTGACCGGGTATAGAGAGAATATATCAGTCAAATATCCAAGCGATATTGTGATATGTTTGACTTGGTCAAACACCCTAAATCATATCCAATTGGTTACGATATAAATCTAATTAATTTATATTAAATTAATTAATTTATATTGTGTAGATTAAATATATATTAAGTATATATATTTAGAATTAATTGTGATTGATTCTGGATTTAAATTCAAATATCATGATATTATGAGATAAGAATATATTATATCTTATCTCGGATTTTATCTGATGGGCTCAGTGGATATTTTTATGCTACCCAAAATATCCCTGACAAAAGCTATAAATAGAGGCTTCCCCCCATTAGTTCAAATCACTCCAGTAGTAGAGCTTTCCTACTATCTCTCTCTCTCTCTCTTATTTTCTTTCTTGCAAAAAAGGTGCTCTGCTGTGCACTTAAAAGCTCAGACTTTTATAGTCTAGCTTAAGCGTGAGCTAAGAAGATCCGACCAACCCGACCCGAGATCTGACCCGATATGTTTTCGATCTATTGTGTTATTTATCTTACAGATAGATTATATAACATATGTTATAATTTAGTAATTTAGCGAATTCTTTATTTTTTTTTCAAATTATTTAATTGAATATTATATTAAAAAACGGAGGTAGTGGTATAAGAGTCATTAAAATAATCATTTTTAAAAGAAGGTGCCTCTTGCCTTACTCTGAAGTCATTTATAAAGCTGTTTAGTTATTTACTTACATCACATGAACTATATATAATTTTCTTTTAATAAAAGACAATTTTATTCCAATAAAAAGGTGAAAAAGATATTACCTCCGATCTTATTTATAAGACCTTATTTGTAGACTATAATAAGGTCTTATAATTAGAACCAGAAGTAGTATATAAGTATTTCTCCAGTCCTAAATATAAGACCTTTATACATACTAGTATTGGGGTTTTACATTTAGGACCAGAGAAGTACATGTTGGATTTCATCACCTACAAGACTATGCTAAAGAATATAAAAGGCCTAGACACCGAAAAAGATAAACAACAAGAAGGAAGACAGAACCAATGAACCATGACTCGAAAGAAAAACCAAAATTATCATCAATGAAAGGATATAAGGAAGTACAGTATATCTTTTGAACAACCTTCATACTGCATCATCACATACTGAGAAAACCATCAAGAAGGAGTCGATGATGAACAATATATAATTGATGTATCATACATAAATCACGTGGAAGAATCACATAATTTTAGATAAACATCATGGAACTAAAAGCATGGGCAACACTTGAACATTGCCATCTGTATGTGAAAAATTATTGGGTATATGGTCATCAGGATAGATGTCAATTCCATCTAGGCCGAATTCATTTCTTGCAACATCAACTTCACCAACTGCTTGATCAACAATATCACTCCATCCATAGAACAAAACAATAATGATCCTAATAAGTAAGCCGGCAATTTGACGAAATACGGGACGCCGATTTCTAAGTGGACAGAATCCCAACATACGAACAAATATGATGAAGAAAATGGAAATGAATCCAATGACAATGATAAAATCTGCAAGCAAAGTGTTATTGCTCACAATCAAACGTACAGCAGCTAGAAACGCAACGGGCATCGCTATAAGAGCCACATAAACAAAGATCTTAGGAAGTCCATATACTCCTTGCGCAAAACGAAGATCACCCAGCGGAACCCATAGAAGAATCACAGAACCAATGGTGGAACTGTTCATAGCAATAGTATTGAAAGCCATGAATATTTTGAACAGTGTTTGATCGGCCAGAAGTGCCAAGCCCCTTTGTTTTGGGATTGGACCATCCGATGAGTAGAACCCACCTGGTATTGTGAAACCAGCCGTAAATGTCACTGTGGCTATGAGTATGACCACAAATATGAGTGTGTTGGCTGCGTCCTTCACATTCCATTCTTTATTGGTGGATGTTATACGTTGTATGGCCAGCATATTTGCCTTCAAGGACACACCAACATCTTCTAAAATTGCATCTGCTAGAAACTGCAAGTTATTAATATAATTTTTAGTCTTTGAAATTTTGGCTTCTTTTAGTTTTGGTCTCTTAAATTTTAAACTCGTGGTTTTAGTTTTTGAAATTTAATTTGTCTTAAAATATTAGTCCCTAGAGGTGTAACAGTGTTCGAATCTACTAAAATACCATAAATAACTTTAAAGTGATGATACGAACTCGCCAAATGACATCTAGCTGAATCTTGTGTTGATGTGGATGACAAAAGGGGAAAAAATAGTAGGTTCTCAAAATACAGTTGATTAGTCCCTTCTTTTTTTAATTCTCATTGTTTGTTTTAAGATCTGTTCACTATATTGGATGTGGATAATCATTCTCCATATTGCATTTTGAGAACCTATTCTTTATATATATATATATATATCTATTATTCAAACAAGATCTAGTTAAGTGCTATCTGGTAAGTCCACGTCATTACTTTTAACGTTATTTATGAAACTTCAGTATATTTTAACATCACTATACCTCTAGGGACTAACATTTTAATATAGACTAAATTCCAAGAATCAAAATCACGGGTTTTAAATTTGAGAGACCAAAAACCAAAATAGACCCAAATTTCAGAGACCAAAACTCATATTAACCTCTTGAATCAACAAGGATATGTTTAATTACTTATACAACAAGATTCTAGAATTAAAAACTGCATAAAAGCCGTGAAAATAGAGTGCGTAGTTGATATATATTAGTCAAATCATACCTCTTGACATGTCATTGGATGTTTACACTTCATCCTAAAAACATCTTGAGCTGTGAAACCTTCATTATTCATAATGCTCACACCAATCATTTTGTCACTACAAAAACAAAACAAAAAAAAAGACTTTAGCCGATGAATTTTGACAATGACAAAAAAGTCGCAATTGAAAGTCTAAGACTTTCAGTAGCAACGAAAATGCATCACTGCTGAAAGTCACTTTTGGCAACCACAGATTGTCACTGCTAAAAGTTCTTTTAGTGGCGACAAGAAGGTCGCCGCCCAAAGTATTTTTCAATGGTGACAAATGTCGTCACTGAAACTTTTAAAAGTTACCACTGAAAGTGTCTTTCAGGGGCAACTTTTTTTGTCGCCGCTAAAAGTTTTTAGCCACGGTTACTGTGGCAACGACTTTTCAACGACGATAAGTCGTCACTGAAAACTTTTAGCAACGACTATTATACTTTCAGTGACGACTTTTTATTATCACTGAAAGTCAATTTTTTTTGTAGTGTGTTGTGACAGAAGGAGTAGAGTCCAAAGACGCAATCCTCTTGAAGCCAAATGTAAGGGAGTATCTCTATTCACATCCCCTTCATTGACAATGTCATGATGAATCTTTGGGTGCTTTAGTAGATGTTTTAACATATTAGTTTGTCCTTTCATTGCTGCAATGTGAAGAACGTGCCGTCTCATCCCAATCGGGATGGAACAGGCATAACTAGGGACGGGACAAGAATATCCCATCTTTTTTTGGATTTTTTTTAATTTTTTTAATTTGAAAAATAACTATAGATAAAGTATAAGAACTTATGATAAAAACTATAGGAAGAAAATAGATAAAAAAAGAGAAAACAATGGCAAAGAAAAAGTGTTGCAATCTTAAGAGACAAAAAATAAACAAACTTAAAATGGTCACTACAAAGAATATCATGTAACACATACAAAACAGCTTATAAACAAATAAAAAAATAATAATTGATAAATATAATTACCAAATGCTATTACAATGATAAATAAAATAAATTTGTAGCAATTAAAAACAAAGAAAATATATTGGGATGGGACCTAGATGGGACACCCCCATCTCGCATCCCATCCTGTTCCAAAAATATCTTGTCCTGTCCTGCTTTCGTCCCTTTCTAAAACCTTTGGAGATAGGACTGTCTTGTCTCAAAATGATTGGGACAAAGACAGGACACGAGGACAGGACACTATTGAACATCTCTAGGAAGAAATGAAACAAACATGAAGTTAACGATTTCACGAGTATGCTTACAGGTATTTTTTTCTGATACGGCAGCATGAAGTGGAGAGTCACCATTTGAAATATCCTTGCCTGAGGGGATTGGAATGTCCAAGAGAGGATGAAGAACTTCCCTAACGCTTGTTGGGGCTGCCAAATACATTGGCGATTTACAACCATAATCGTAGTTCCATGTGCAATAGGTGGTAATATCACTTTGCTTATCTACAGATAGAAGGAAACAAACCACAGAAGAATCCTTGCTCAAAACAGCTTCGTGCAAAGCTGTCATCCCATAATTGTTGCGTAACATTATAAACTCTACGTTATCCATAGATACAGCCTCCTCCTCCTCATCAACATCAAAAGTCAACATGAAATGTTTTTCCATGGTGAGAATGTTCTTAATCCGACAAGATTCTTAGTTCTTGCTGCAACATGAAGCGGAGTATTGCCTTTCATATTTGTCGGGTACAAAAGCTTAGGATGGTGAAAAGCATTAAGCCTTAAAACTTGTTCGCTCCCACGTTGGGCTGCAACATGAAGCAACGAATCACTTGTGGGAGTGACATGGTGGCCAAGTCAACCTTATTTTCTTCACATAATTGCTCCAGTACATAAACAAATCTATCTGCATCTGCATTTTCATCAGAAGCCACCTCGTGCAACTCGTAATAGATAACATGTACCTTGTTGGTATGAAATGGAATATCATCCTCAACCGACGAACTGAACTGCCCTTTCATGAGTTCATGCATCTTCTCGTTGCCACGAAACTGTACATAATCAGACTGACGCTTGGTCTCTTCCTTCTGCTCTGAAATATCTCCCATCATTTGGTTGGGAATCGATTCATCAGTAGCCACATCTAAGGTAATTTCACCAGAACTTGAATCGCCCATTGCTGCTAGCTGGCTGGAAGCTTCATTAATCAATGCAACCCAAAATGATAAATCTCTCGTAATTGAGCACCAGATTCAACTAAGATAGTTTCAGCAGTAGGGAAAGATTTATGCTTTATTATATGCATTAAGTAATTCAAGTAAATGCAACTATGCAGACAAGTCACATGATGGTTTGCAAGAGGGCACGCTAAGATATTAGAATATCGTGGGATCACATTCATTATGATTTTTTTTTTTTTTGGGTCATCTTATGAATTCATATTTTTAATAGCATTCCGTTAAATATCAGCCCGTGATATAATGGTATCTACTTCCGACAACATAAACTTTAGTGGACTAAATTAAAATCCATCTGTGCCTTTCTACACTACTAGTTAATAATAATAATAATAATATATATATATATATATATATAAAACATAAAGATACATTATCTATTATACTACATATAAGCAATTATTGACTACAGCTGGCAGTTATTACACAATGTTGTATATTAATCAAGGAAGAAATCGAGGATAAAAATAGGGTTTACTTAATATAGTCTTCTTGCCTATATATAGATGGTGGCATTTATGAATATAAACAAAAGAGAAAAGATAACTTTACTGTGATCTGCTAAAATATTCATATTACCTCATCTTTTTAATATGAGATTCCAATTCACATTATATCTAATATTTATTCATTTTGCCTTCAAGTAATCCCCATGGTAATTGCAAGTGTCAAGGAGTTACTATCAAGAAGTAATTTAAATGCACATGATTGATAAGGGTATTCTTGGAACATCTAGTTATTATAAATAATTAACTTAATTAATTTTTTAATATTCACAAATTAGTTATCTAATTCTTATATTAAGAACTGAAAATACTATAATCAACTGGATATCATTATCACGTGATGATAATGTTTGATGAAGTGTGTTATGACTAAATTGTCCATACACTGTCCAATTGTTTTTATGAGAGATAAATAACTTATTTATCAGGATTAAGAAATACGATTAAAAGTAGTTGAAATTAATAAATATATCAGACGTATAAATTTATTTAAAAAAAATACCCTCATTCGATAATTGATTGGAGGCTTTTACAATTGGCCTCATTAATAAATACATCTTTATAGTGAAAATAAAAGGGGAAATTTTAATAAATAATCCAGACAAAAGATCGCTGTTTCTTATATAAATAGGGCTACGAGAATCCTTCCAAAATTCCCTTCAATAAAATACTAGAAGTAGTATTAAATATCAATTTTCTAGCCTCTCTATCTCCAATGCATGAAACATTATTTAGGCTGTCATACATCAAACATTATCAGCTTGGTCTCTCTCGTTTAGGGTGTTGTATATCAATGTTAGTTCTGATTATCACAATAGTTAAAATTACATATCAAATGCTTAATGTTAATTTTTAATTGAAATGGCATATAATTTAAAAATAAAAATTCGTCATAACCAAAATCGTTAATTTTAACAGTAGCTAAACATAAAATATTAGGGTCACTAGTTTAAAATTTTATCAAAACATGAAGTATTAGGGTTTTCTTAATTAAAAATTTTAAAGGTTAAGGAAGTTATACACAACTGACTCAATGTTTAGGAGGAGAAAGTTTTGTGTGTTGGCCTACATTTAATCATTTCAAGAGAACATATATAAAAATTATTGAGATGATTCGTATTATTTTTTTTAGGAAAAGGAATTGTAATTAGTCTTCTATATTATTTAGGTAAATCTTGTACGTATATGGAGGTTTTAATTTGTGCAAATTTTCACAAAATAATTAAAAAAATATGATATTTTAATTACAATTAATAACAAGTATCATTTCACCTGTTTACAAATAAATTATTCAAAATAAAAAAAAAACTTATTAAAAATGACAATGTTGTCGGCAAAAAACAAATGCACATAGCTTAATATTCCAATCATAGATTAAAACAAACTCACATTTTTTTTCTAAGAATGATATCAACTAAAATCAATTACTAGAATGATTTCCAACGATTAGAACAAAGAATCTGCGTTACTTAAAGTCAATTACACATACAACACAGATAGTTTATTATATTCCTTGGTCAAAATAAAAAATAAAAAAGATAGTTTATCATACTATGGGATACCTTTGATCTTGTTAAGGTTCTTTTTTTTTTTTTTTTAATAAGATTCATTTCAAGCATAAACTTTATCACTGCCAGCCAATAAAAACAGTATAAGAGCGGCATCTTCTTACAAGTTCATGAGCTCACAGGTAACGGGTCGTCACATTGGAGGCACAGATATGCTTGAAAGCAAGCATGTACTCTCCGGTCAAAAAAAAAAAAAAAAAGCAAGCATGTACTCAGAGTTAATCAGGCTGAATTTGCAACTGTGATTCCTCAAATTGGTGGTGAACGACAAGTCGTTTTTGAAAACTCAACAAGAAGAACAAAGTGGCTAAGCCTGGAGAAGGAACCATGGCGATGCAAGGATTATTATTTCTCTCCATTGTGAGCATTGATACTTGTGAGATGTAACATACTGTTTAAAAAAAAAAGAAAAAAAAAAAGAAAAGATATTAGTTAATTAAAATAATATAATATTATTATTTTATTATTTTATTATTTTATTATTATAAAAATATATATATATAGATACCCAGCTTTCCACCGAATTCGGTGGAAAGCCTGGGCATCATTTAATTGAACAAAGAAAAGGGGGGGGGGGGGGAGGTGTTAATGGCTGAAGAAAAACGGGGAAGTAGCAGATGGACGTAGAAAATTGGGTAAGGGGCGGTGGAAAAATTTCAAACGTGAAGGTATTATATATCATCACCCCCCATATCTCCTTCAAGTAAAAGCAAGAGAGTGCGGGGAGAAAAAGAGAGAGAGCAAAAGAAAAGAGAAGAGAGACAGAAGCATAGAGAAAAAGAGAGAGAGAGAGCTAAATTGCAGAGTACCTGACGGTTTTGGAGATCATTTAGGTACACAAAACTACTTCTTGTTATCATATTTTCTTTATGAATATTTCCTATATATTTATATCTTTATATTATTAGTTTCATTATCATGTTTAGAGAAAATTTTACCGTTTGAGTATAGAGTAAATATGGAGTTTTGACAATATATGACCGTAGAAATTTAAAGATCCATTATTAAGGAATTTTAATCGGTTTATTTTTGTTTAATGATTATTTTGAGAATTTTAAACTAAGATTTTAGTTGAAAAGTTTGTTATTTAGACTTGTAATATGTTTTTACCGATTAAATTTGAGTTAAATAATTTATATGAGTTATTTAATATATTATTGAGATTTTAATCGGTTTAAATATTGAATAAGTTAAAGATATATTTTTGAAATAATTTTTGAAGGCTTGAAAAATTATAAATTGAGAATTTTGTAAAATTAAATAAAGCTACAGTTTGTTTATAATTTAAAAAGAAGTTGTTTGGTTTGAGGAAAAATTTTAAATGAGATTATAATAAATAATTGAGAATTTTAATATAAAATATTTAGATTTTGAGTAATAAAAATATATATACTTTTGTTAAATTTAAATAGCCTTATATGTAAATTATTTCAAAATAATATCTATTATAAATGCCTAGATTTGGGAGAGTTAATATACTTATGTAATTTTGGTTTAGAGGGTAGTTTTAGAATTTTAGAGTAGCTTTAGAGTAGTTCTGAGTTTATATTAATAAATATTTATGTGTAATTTTGTAGACCCTTGAGATTTTGAAGTAATCCTTGTGTGAATATTTGTAAGCTAAAGAGTACCAGGTAACTCTGAAAATTCTTTCTTGTACATGTGAATTGTGTATGATTATATTGTGGATTTACTAATTTTTATATCATACTGAAAAGTAGTATTATGATTTCAAATAAATGTTTTGATATGTTATTTGATTTTGTCAAGATTTATTGCTATTAATTATGATCAATGTTTAAATATATTGATGGGAGGAATTGTCATGAGTTGTTATTAAATGGTATATAAGTTTTATTGCTATCTTATCTTTAAAATATTTGAGGACGTATTTATGATGTAACATTATTGGCATCTGACATGCATTGTTGGGCTAAGGATAGAAGGAGATTGTATGGATATGAAATTACCACGTGGTATGCCATCACTCGGTGCACAGTGGATGGCACTTGTCAGGGCCCCTTCTTCCATGTTTTCCTTTGGCCGGGAATTCATTGGAGCTGTGGGACATGTGACACCTCCCTATTCACAAAGGAGGGGAGCCATAGTCCGAGCTTGAGCTCTATATCTTTGGCCGGATATATCTCTTGTATCGGTGAGCTTGGAATAATTCAGTAAAATGGATTAGTTCCTATCGGACTATGTGTTAGCCTATGGCTCCAGTCAGCGGTATAAGGGTGGACGGTGATATAAGGGAGGCAACATATTGCATTATTTTTGGATATATTGAATAATAAATTGAAATTGAATTGAATATATCAAATCTGTGATTTTTAATATATACATATATACAGACCTATAAATAGATTTTTGGTTTATCATATATGATTTGCTCGTATAGGTTAGAATTTCAGTAGTTACTGAGACGTTTGTGCTCATCCCCTATATTAACAATTTTCAGGCGAAGGATCTAGTAAGAATCAAGGGAAGGCACCATTAGAGTGAGCCGTGAAGGCTTTTGTGCTCCTCAAGCACATGCTATGTTATATTTTTATTTGCCATGACTATAAGACTTTAATAGTTTATGTTGTTAAGTTATGTTAGAAATGTTTTGAAATTTTGACTTATTTGCAGTATTAAAAATATGTATGGACTTTTAAATTAAATATTTTATCGAGTATATTAATATAATTATGTGAGGTGTTACATGAGACTTCTGGCTTTGTAAATAGTATATATAAAGAAGATTATGCGGGAACTAATAATGTTCATATCTTTCTAGTCTAAAAGGGAACGCGGGAACAAATATGGTTTATGAGTCTATGTGGTAACTGACGAGGTTGTAATTTCATGATTTAGAGGTGTTTGAGTAAGATGAAAACCATGGTTTCAGAAGTGCTTTTACGATATACGAAGTAAATATGTGAAAGAGTTTGTCTCAATTTGTGAAATAGTACTTCTGAAAAGTGATTATTGAGGTATCCAAAAACCCCCTTAGTTACATATGTGGCTTGTGTACGAGATAATGTCATACACTAGTTATGGACAAACCCAAAGAGCACCAAATGTCTTCCTTAAGATTTTTTTTTTTTTTTTTAGTGTAATGCTGTAAGTTTAAACTCTCCATAAAGGATATATTACCTCCAGTGCTTAATATAAAAGTTAGTTTGATATTTAATTTGGTCTTAAATATGAGATCCTAATTCGTTTTATCTCTCATATTTATCTATTTTTTCTAAGATAGTCCTTCTAGTAGTTACATACATCAAGTGGTAGTTTTAGCTAATAATATACATGATTAACAAGGGTATTTTAGGAAAGACAATATCTATTTGTTACAAATAATTAACTTTAATTTACTGAAATTAATTAACTAGTAATTATATTAAGAATCAGATATAGTAATATATACGTGAGCATTGGGGGGGAAGTCCACAAAAATTTCATACTATTGTCATATGTATGCAAGCTCGAATTATAGATATCTTTATTTTAAGGGATGTTTAGATTAACTTTTTAGAAGTAATTTTACAGTGTTTGAAGTATACATGCAAAAAAAAATTTTATTTCTACTTACATAAAAATACTTAGTTATTTCTTGGGTTTAAGAGACATGCACACAACTCTGATGAGTGTTTAGATAAAACCAAATCATGGTTTGGAGAATAACTTCTGAAGAATAGATTTTGGAGAGAATAAATTTTATGAAGAATAGATTTTGTGAAAAAGTGATTCCGAGAAGTGAGAGTGTCTAGATAGTTGTTATCAGAAGCACTTTTTATATATGCAAATTACTAAAAAAGACATAAATTAATATGATAATTACATAAAAGATAGATTTTATGATATATTTTAATTTGAAGGAATAAAATGGTTAATAATATATTTTTTACCAACATAATTAATAATACATAAGATAATATAATTAATGAATAATTAATATGTGTATATATATTTATAAAATATAAGATTAATATGTTTATAAAAAATTAATTGAGAGATGTTAAAGTTATATTATTGTTGAGATCTACTCTGACAGGCATAATCATACTTTCCAATTTGAGCCAAAAACAGAATGGATTCACTTCTCCTGAAACCATGGTTTTGGATTCCAAGACCATAGTTTTGGCCCAAAAGATGGTTTTAGATTATGACATCAAAACTAATGCTGTTTGGGTGACATTCCACCCAAACCATGATTTTGCCTTCAAAACCATGATTTTGAAAGTCACCCAAACATGCCCGAAATATTTCTACCGAAATATTTCTACTTCCCGCTCAAGTCAATATATTTCCCTTAAAAAAAAAATCCTTGTGTCATTTCCCAAAAGCGTATTGCCAATTGTAACATGGACCCATTTAATTAAGAAATTGGATCATTCTTCAATTTTAATCCTTACCGTGCACGGTACTATTCACTCGTCAGTGTACCCCCGTCATTATTGCATGCAATAATAATGCATGTGCAGGGCAATAATGTACATATGGAACCCATATGATCGGTCACCATCAGGATAAATGCTGAAGACGTACTGAAATTTTAAAACCCCATCAGAGCTGGGACCACCACTGACGTGGAAATGCACAAATTTTCTTTGCCTTTTTTTTCTTTTTGCGAATAAAGGAAATGCACAACATCAATAATGGGTTGTTATACATCAAAAATTGCCAAATAACTGAAGTAAACAAACATATCCTACTTGCTACTCAAATTTGTCCACTCCCGTGCTAAAATAGACATCGTTATCGTAGATGAACCCTCTTCACTCAGAGTTTTAGCAGCAGCGTCTTTAAACACTTGAATTTTTCTTCGAAGTTCTCTGCCTTCATCATCTTCCATTAATATTTTCACAACTCTTGCAACTTCCTCTCTCGTTACAATACCATTCTTATTCCCGTCACCTTTCGGCCTCAATGCAACCTTAAATTGCTCAGTTAGCATCAAGGAATTCATCCTCTGCTCTGCAAATAATGGCCACACGACCATTGGTTTGCCATAGACGATAGCCTCGAGCGTTGAGTTCCAACCACAATGAGTCAAGAATCCACCGGTAGATTTATGTCTCAGAACTTCAATTTGTGGGGCCCAGGATGGGACCACAAAGCCTTGACCTTTGGTTCTCTCTAGAAACCCTTTGGGCAAGAAGTGGAGGGGCTCCTCCTTTTGTGCACTCAAATAAGCCGAATTGGCCACTCCACTGGGAGCCCTCAAGACCCACAAAAACTTGTGGCCACTCATCTCTAACCCAAAGGCCAACTCATCAAGCTGCTCTTGTGATAATGTTCCACCACTCCCAAAAGAGATGTATAGAACTGAGTTTCGTGGCTGATTTTCCAGCCATGTTAAACACTCTGAATTAGATTCATTTATGTTTGTCGATCTTGTCTGTATAATAGGCCCCACAGCATAAACCAAGGGCCAGTTTTTATTACTTTCTTGTAGAGTTGTTAGTACCTCTCGTTCCAGATCTACGAAGCTGTTCACTAAGATTCCATCTAGCAAAGAAACTTTTTTGCATCCATGAAGGACTGTTTTATAAGCTTCACTCGATCTTTCTTGAAATGGTTCTGGGAGATCCTTGCCTTGAAAGCTTATGCAACCTACAGAAATTTTTAGATCGATGTCAATGCAATCTTCAATTCAACATAAATTTAAGTGACTTCGTATGTTATTAAAAAACAAAAAAAAATTGGCAACCTGGAAGTTTCAAGGGTTGTGACAAATCTCGGAACCCAGTAGGAACCATCTCGTGATCTTCATCAAGCTCTGGAAAATGGAGCAAGAAAGACAGAAAAGTTGTTGGTGAAGGAAAGAAAACATAGGATTTGAGTTTGAGTTCTTTTGCCAAGTCTATTGCATCTGTTGAGAACATATCAACAACCATAGCAACAAGACGATGAGTTGGAGAACCGAAAGAGCTCAAAGCATGACGGAGTGATGGAAGAGAGAGTGTGACAGTGCGATAAATTTGTGTTACTGGGTCTTCAGCTTTGATGTCTTCCAAGTTGATATGTGGAAGAATAGTGAAGTCTATGTTTGGTGGGAGAGATTCCAAGATGGAATTCATAGTTGGAGAAGGAGGGCCAAGCGTGGGGATGAAGAAGGCGATGTGGAAGTGAAGGTGACGAACGACAAGTTGTTTTGAGAGCTCGATAAGCGGAAGGAGGTGGCTGAAGCCTGGAGCTGGAACCATGGCAATGCAAGGCTTCTTTTTCTCCATGGGAGAGTGATGTAACTTGGGATCTTGGGGAAATTGGCAAATAGACCACACTTTTCGTAATGATGGATGCATTTCTATTGATGGCTTTTTATAGGCTTTTTTTTTTTTTAGTTTTTTATCTTTCTTTTTGTTCACATGTTTAAATAGAAAAGAATCATTTTTTCTCTTTGTATGTTAATATAGTTGATGATGCATTTCGAGCTTTCACCGACAAAAAATCTAAAGTGGAGGGAAAGCAGAAATATATATGATGGAGATTTCTCTGAAATTTGAGTGTACACATATATACAATTTTTGGTCCCTCGAGTTTGGATAAATTTTGCTTTTAGCCCATAGAGTGTCAGAGCATAGATTTTGGTCTCTTAAGGGACAAAATAATCTAATTTTTATTAAATTATAGGAATTAATACTTTAAGTAGAAAGAAAATTAAAGGATCAAAATTTATAGTTTGAAACTTAAAAAACCAAAACCAAAATGAGGACAAACTTAAAGGATCAAAATTTGTATTAAGCCTAATATTTTTCACACTTCATAATTTTAAAATGCTTCGGAATTGCATATGATGCTATATTGATGTTAACTTGCCCTTAATTTGTCGCTTTGGAGTTACTCTAAAAATTAACCGAATTAATGCAATATAGTGCAAAACTCGGGTCGTTTCACTTTGAGGAGCCGAAAACGAAATTAAACCCTAGTAAATAAATGCAAGTAACCTAAACTATAAAAAAAGATTTTGATTTTGAAGAATTGCTAACTAAATGCCTTGAATTAAACTTAAATTAAAATATTTTTTTTGTTATTTTTATATAAAAAATGATTGAAATAAATGAAGATGAAAGAAATGAAAATGAGACACACAAGTAACAATGATAATAATCAATCCTCCAATTCAACAACGCAGGCAATCCTCACTCCAAAAGATACGGGAGTTAAAACAATGAATTAAGAATTATAATCAAGCTTTTAATCCAACAACCGAGCCACCTCGAATTGTCACAAAATATTTTCCCAAAATCCTAATTTACTAACTGCAACCAGAATAGTAAAATAGAATTAAGGATGCTAAAAACCAATGCTTAATTAAAATTCTCAAATCCAAAATAATAGAATTAAAGCTAGCAAAAGACAATATGATCCAAGATTCCAAGCCACCTCAGAAAATCACAATATATTAACTCCAAAATCAATACAAATGTCATAACCACAACATCATAATTGAAATCAAAACTATAAACAACTCAATATCAAATGCTAAACAATAATCCAGCCACAAAAATCTTCACAGATAATCAGATTTAACAATACAAAATTTTCTAATAGTCAGAATAACTATCCTAAGACCTAAGAATTGTTAAACAATTATTAAACAAGAAATTAAAGCAACTAAAACTCCCCTTTGATGATCCAAACTCCTGTCATTATTATTGAATTAGAGGATTAATGAAGCTAGCCACGGACTGCCATAAAAAATACTGCCATATTCAATACTCTGTTACAAGGTTCCATGGAGGATACTGTTCACGCTTAATCCTTCACGCTGCTGTCTCTCTGTTTCTTTTTCTCAGCGCCGTCCAGCTCGTGTGTGTCGCGTTCTGCCGTCAGCCCGTGTTGTCTGTGTGTATCCGCTCGTGGGTTTGTGAATAATAGGTTTAGTGGGGTCTTGTTCACGCCGCCCGCGTCTTCTCCCTCAGCGCCGCTTCACCCAGCTTCCCCTGAAGAAGAAGATTCAATTATTAGATATTAGGTTGGGGGGCAAAACGTTGCGTTTTGCTCCCCTTTTATTATTATATTTTTTTAAAATTTATTTTTCTTTTATTTTTTTTAATATTTTTTTCATTTTTTTAATTTTCATTTTTATTTTTAAATCTTCTAAAAACCTGCAAACAAAATTAAAAAATAAGGTAGCATTAATTGTCCTCAAAAAATCAATTACTCACAATTAAACCAAAATATAACAATTTTGCCCCCTATAAAATAATAATTCAAAATAAAATAAATTAAATCAATTAATAATCAATTAAGGCTAAAAAGACTAATTAAGTTGACAAAACCCATATAAAAGATATCAAAATATATAAAAATAATTGAGTTTGTCATATATGCATGAGAAGGTAAGACAAAAATAAAAATAAATATGTATATAAATAAATAAGATTCCTACATGTGCATGGAATGTGTTTAGCCATCGAGAAAATGACATGAGCAAGATATGTTGGAAATTCAATTATTTACGATAATGTTTCTTATCTTCCACAAATGAGAATAGCCACACCATACATTATATACTACCTACTGTCCTTAATGCAAGCATGATGTTGTAAGTTCGAATCTTCGGTTAAAAAATACAGTGGAAAAAAATACAGTGGAAGCATGAGTTATATAGATGTCTTTATTTTAAACTTACAAGGAAAAACACACTTGCGATGTGGGCTTAAGGGAGACAAAGATGGTAAAAATTTCTGGCTGCCACTCAAATTTTTTCGAACTCAATTTCTGTCAATATATATTTCCCTTAAAAAAAGTCCTTGTGTGTCATTTCCCAAAAGTGCATTACCAATTACATCAGCGACCCATTTAATAATATTATGAAATTGGATCATCGGCCTTCAATTTTAATCCTTACAGGTCACAGTAGTGTTCATTCGTCATTGTCCTCCTTGCATTATTTATTGCAATAATTAATGCATTTACAGTGCAATAATGTACGGAACCTTTATGATCAGCCATCGAGATATATATTACAGGAAGATGTCCTGAAATTTTAAAACCCCATCAGAGCTCGGACCACCACTGTACTGACGTGGAACTGCACAAACTAACTTGGTTTTTTTTTTTTTTTAATTTTATTAACGGCAGCAAAATGATCATTAAAAATTGCAAAATAACTGAACTAAACATATTCTACTTGCTACTCAAATTTGTCCATTCTTGTGCTAAAGTAGACATTGTTCTTGCACATGAACCATCTTCACTTAGGGCTTTAGCAGCAGAATCTTTAAATACTTGAATTCTTCTTCGAAGTTCTCTGCCTTCATCATCTTCCATTACTATTTTCACAACTCTGGCAGCTTCCTCTCTCATTACAATCCCATTCTTATTCTCGTCACCTTTTGGCCTCACTGCAACCTTAAATTGCTCAGTTAGCATCACTGCGTTCATCCTCTGCTCTGCAAATAATGGCCAAACAATCATTGGCTTGCCATAGACCATAGCCTCAAGTGTTGAGTTCCAACCACAATGAGTCAAGAACCCACCAGTAGATTCGTGTTTCAGAACTTCAATCTGTGGGGCCCATGATGGGACCACAAACCCTTGGCCATTGGTTTTCTCTAAAAATCCCTTGGGCAAGTAACTGAGGGGATCATCCCTTTGTGCACTCAAATAACCCGAATTGGCCACTCCACTTGGAGCCCTCAAGACCCACAAGAACTTGTGGCCACTCATCTCCAGCCCCCAGGCTAGCTCGTCAAGCTGGTCCTTCGACAAAGTTCCACCACTCCCGAAAGAGATATAGAGAACTGAGTTTCGTGGCTGATGGCCCAACCATGTTAAACACTCTGAATTAGACTCATTTATGTTTGTCATTCTTGTCTGTATAATGGGCCCCACATGATAAACCAAAGGGTGGTTTTGATTACTTTCTTGTAGAGCTGTTACAACCCCTTGTTCCAAATCTACGAAGCTGTTCACTAAGATCCCATCTAGTAAACAGTATTTTTTGCATGCATGAAGGATTGTTTTGTAAGCTCCACTGGATCTTTCTTGAACTGGATCCATAAGATCCCTTCCTTGGAAGCTTATGCAACCTGCAGAAATTTAGATGTTAACACAATACCCAATTCAACTTGAAATACTTCGCCCCGAATTAAAAAAGATGTCTTTTGGTGTGAGAATTCAGCATATATTTATTTTGGAACCTGGAAGTTTCAAGGGTTGTGACAAGTCTCGGAAGCCAGTAGGAACCATCTCGTGATCCTCATCAAGCTCTGGAAAATGGAGGCAGAAACACAGTAAAGTTGTTGAACAAGGAAATAAAAGATATGACTTGACCTTGAGTTCTTTTGCTATGTCTATTGCTTCCATTGAGAAGTAATCAACAACCATAGCCACGAGGTGATGAGTTGCAGAATAGAATGAACTCAAAGCATGACGAAGAGATGGAAGAGAGAGTGTGACAGTGTTGTAAATTTGTGTTTCTGTGTCTTGAGCTTTGAGGTCTTCCGTGTTGATTTGTGGAAGAATAGTAAAGTCTATTTGTGGTGGGATAGATTCGAAGATGGAAATCGTAGCTGGAGAAGGAGGGCCAAGTGTAGGGATGAAGAAGGTGATGTGGAAGTGAGGTTGATGAACGGCGAGTCGTTTTGAGAACTCAATAAGTGGAAGGAGATGGCTAAAGCCTGGAGCAGGAACCATGGCTATGCAAGAGCTCTTTCTCTCCATTGGAAGAGTGATAGCTTGGGAGCTTTGGAAACTGGAAACTAGAACACACTTTTCTAAGTGATGGAATATGGAGTTCTTTTGATGCGTTTTTATAAGATCTTTTTAGCTAAATTTTTTGTATATAGAAATATGGATGATGCAGATTCAAAGTTTTACCGACCAAGCAGTGAGAGATAAAATATGAGACCCACATAAATTATTCATTAGATGTGTCATACTCATAAGTCTCTTTCGTTCACTTTGCACACTTTGCATGTGTTCCTTATAAATGATACTTCTCGGATCCTTAATATAATACATAATTAATTAATTTTGATAGATTAAGGATGTTAATTAAATTAGTTAATATGATTTTTTTCCCCTAAAATACCCTAAAAATTTTCCTAGTTTCCTTTCTATCTATTTTACTTGATTATTGTTAAGGAAATATTAAGAAAATTAATTTATAAAAAATTGATAAATATATGAAGTAAGTCTTACATATAGGACCAACATCAACTCTTCAATCAAGTCCTATAAGAACCAGAGGAGTATTACAATTCATTCATTTCTATAATTCTTTTCATGCACTGCAATATGTATTGAACCTTTTTAGCTTGCCCCCATAGGGGAAAAAAATGCCACCCCAACTTATGACACTAATTTTAGTTTTTAAGATTTAAGTAATATTAGGAACAAATTATTTTATGATAATTGAGACTTATCATGTAAGTAACTGGCGGAGAAGAAATTTATCCGAAATATAATTTATTAGGATAAAAAATATGAAGTGATAACAAACAGTATTAATGGCAAAAATGAGATAATAATTATATTGAAAAAAGTAAAAAATAAACGATATTGGAAAAAAAAAAAAAACGTTTTGGAAGGAAAAAAGAAGGAAAAGAAAACCTGAAGAGTTTTAAAAAAATAACAGAAAGAATGAAAATGATAAGCCAACAAGAGTTGGTCCAGTTGATAAGAAATTGACTTATAACTCACAAGGCCATGAGTTTCAATTCTGTTGCTGATGTGAGGACCTTGTTTGTAGACAATCTGTAAATATTTCTGTAAGCGTTGTATGAGCGTGAAGGCATATTCTGGCCCAAAAAACTCCTTGAGATCCAACTTGTCTAAATTTTATTCATGTCTTACCAAAAAATAAATGACCAAAAAAAAAATCAAAAGGCGTAGTTTAGAGCTTACTTATCCAACGTCTTTTCAATTTCCACGGCAGTACACTGGCCTTTTCGGTATTCAAATCTAGCCTTAGTCACTATACTCCCTTCATCAATACTCCCTCTGGTTTTTAATGTTAATTCTATGGCTTCATTTTCGTGCTTGTTATGCTTCGTTTTGTTAATTTCCTGTCAAGTATTAGAATATGAGAAAAGTGCGTTACATCTGTATGGGTCGGAAAGGAAAGTCCAGTAAATCGATTCCTATATCATTTAGGAACTCTTATGTTCTTCATTAACATATACGAATATAAAACTGTTATATATATTGTGATAGCTTGGACACGAACAAGAGATCAGGAAGATCAAAGATGTTGATTAGATGGGTATTTTGCCTCGTCAATATATATATTCCACGGTTTATTTCTGAGTATGTTTCTCTCTCTCTCTCTCTCTCTCTCTGATTTTTTTGAAAGCTATAAGAATTTGAGTTCGATCGTCCAATGAGAATGTATGAGGTATGGTTTTCTTTTATTATCATTTATTTATTCATTTTATCTGTGTGGAAATATTCTAGAATTAAATAATTAATGTTATATTTTATTAACGTTAATTCTAGCATATTTCCATAATCTGTTCCTTAAATTGATGTCTCTGCATTGTTAGCTTGCCAATTTTCATATGGAATTGAGTCCTCACATAGTCCGAAGAGTCATCAAATAAAGAAAAGGAACACATTTTGTAGGATTTGAATATATAGATACACAAAATTATTCTGTAGAAAACCTATTAGGATAAGATAACTCACTGATGAAGGAAAAACTAATGTTACTCAAATCTTTTTCATTCAAACGCTAAGTTAGAAAGCATCCTCGTAGAAGTTCCTTCTTCACTAGTGGCTTTAGCAGCAGTTTCTTTAAACACTCGAATTCTTGTTTGAAGTTCTCTGCCTTCTTCACCTTCCATTACAATCCTCACAACCCTAGCAACTTCCTCTCTCATTACAATCCCATTCTTATAATTCTCATCACCTTTCGGCCTCACTGCAACCTTAAACTGCTCAACTAACATAACTGCATTCATTCTCTGCTCTGCAAATAGTGGCCACGCAATCATTGGCTTGCCATAGACCATAGCCTCAAGTATGGAGTTCCAACCACAATGTGTCAAGAACCCACCAGTTGATTCATGGCTCAAAACTTCGATTTGTGGGGCCCATGATGGGACCACAAAGCCTTGACCCTTGGTTCTCTCTAGAAACCCTTTTGGCAAGTAGTCAAATGGGTTCTCCTTTTGTGCACTCAAATAAGCTGAACTAGGAGATGCACTTGGAGCCCTCAAGACCCATAAGAACTTGTGGCCACTCATCTGTAATCCTAAGGCTAGCTCATGAAGTTGGTCATGTGAAAGTGTTCCGCCGCTACCAAAAGAGACATATAGAACTGAGTTTTGTGGCTGATTTCCCAACCAAGTTAAACATTCTAAGTTCGACTTGTTTATAATAGTTGAGGTTGTCTGCAAAATGGGTCCTACTGGATGGAGAAAAGGGTATTTATTATTGCTTTCCTGCAAAGCTTCTATTGCCTCTCGTTCTAGATCTTGGAAGCTATTCACTATGATACCATCTGCAAAACGGAGTCGTTTGCTTGCATGAAGGAATGTTTTGTAGGAGTCACTCGATCTTTCTTGAACCGGGCGTGGAAGATCCTTGCCTTGAAAAGGCACACAACCTACAAGATTTTTTTTTTCTTTTCTGAATTAGAGGATGGGCACTAACGTACAGTCTGAGATTAATTGAACCTATAACCTCAGTTTTCATGTCATTAGACTATAAAATTAGACTATAAAATCATTAGTCATTTTTATACAAGTTGAGATAAAAACTCTCACAAACTTATTTTGATCATCATAAAACACTTTTAAAAAACCACTACAAATACCCCTTTACACTAATTCCCAATCCCAATATAAGTTCACTTTTTGAAATTTCTTTTAATTTATATGGCCAACATAATGACGCAAGTTGTTTACTTTTTCATAGAAAAAATAACAAAAATGATTACCATATGAAACTAAATTTATCACTGTTAAATACATATTACTTAACATACGATCACTATCTATGTGATTTTATGTTTTGAAATTTGTTGAACAATCAAGTCATGGCTAATACCATTGAATTATAAAGACAAATTACATATATACACACATTTTATTTGCCTTGGCACGTCAAGGTCAAAAGGTAACCAAAGCATACAAGAAACAAAGAATATCTTTCAAAATGTTACCAGAGCGTTAAAAAAGGGACACACAGACACAAACACAAAGTTATCTCTTTTTTTAAAAAATAATATATAAATTCATTACATCCATATCTAAATTGGTTCAGATAAAAGTTTTGCGACCTGGAAGTTTCAGAGGTTGTGATAACTCTCGAAAACCTGTGGAAACCGTCTCGTGATCCTCATCAAGCTCTGGAAGACGCAGGAAGAAAGATAGCGAAGTAACAGATGAAGAATGAAAAACATATGACTTGATGTTGAGTTCCTTTGCTATTTCTAACGCATCTACTGAGAACAAATCAGCAACCATTGCAACAAGATGATGAGTTCGAGAACTAATAAATGAGCTTAACTCACGACGAAGAGAAGGAAGAGAGAGAGTCACAGTGAGATGCATTTGAGTTACTGGGTCGTTATTATTAGCTTTGAAGTCTTCCATATTGATATGTGGGAGAATAATGAATTCTATTTGTGGTAAAAAGAGAGATTGGAAGATGGAATGTGCAGCAGGAGAGGGAGGGCCAAGTGTGGGGATGAAGAAGGTGATGTGGAAGTGAGGGTAGAAAACGACGAGTCGTTTTGAGAACTCGATGAGTGGTTGGAGAAGGCTAAAGCCTGGAGATGGAACCATGGCTATGCAAGGGTTCTTTTTCTCCATGGAAGATTGTTGATGGCTTTGTTACTACTAAACGACGCTTTTCCTGAAGATGGACGGACTTGGATGGATCACTCTGAGTTGTCCCCCCCCCCCCTTTGGGTATATGTATACATATATACACACACATTTCAATGAACACATAAAAAGCTGAAGTCGAAAAAGAAGATAAGAATGCTTTCTATCTTGCTGCTGTTGCTTTTCACCCACTGAAATTTGACGAGCTATTGGCAAAAACTATGAGATGAGTAAATATATATATATATATAATATAAAATGAAAAAACTATCAGCATGAACCGATCGATTCCCAAAGCCGGCGCCAATTGTAACTTAGCTTGTACGGTCCGCAATATATTGCACATTTTTTTCTTATGGGTATATATACACACATATTGCAATGTACACATAAAGAGCCGAAGTCCAAAAAGATAAGAATGCTTTCTATATTTCCGCCGTTTTTCACCCACTGAAAATGGATACGAACTACTGACAAAAAAAATCAGCTAAAATAAAATAAAATAAAAAATTGCGGACCACAGCTTGGGATTTAAAACTATCAGCATGAGCCGATCGTTTCCTAAAGCAGCCGCCAAGGGTAACTTGTGTGGTAAGCGATATGTTGCATTCTTTTTATAATAAGCAAAATCGTATTAACAGCTAAAAGATAAGGTACATAATTATAGTATTTTAGCTGAAGAAGAAAAAGGCAAAAAATAGAGAAAAATACATCATCATGCAGTGCAAAAACTTCAAATCATGACAAAAGACTGAGTAGAATCAACGGCAATGATTCCATTTGCTCTAAAAGAATTTCTTGACAAAAAGTTTTCTTCCTTTTTTTCAAATTAAAGGGGAGACACTAACAATATAAAATTACAAGCGAAATAGAACTTACAATCTCCCATTTTTAAGAGCTTTCGTGCCATCATATACTTACAAATCGCCTACCAACTAGGTATTCACAATAACAATTAGATTCGAACTCACTATTTTATAGGTTATGAATTAACTCATTACTAACTGAACCAATTCTTGTTGGCTCCTATGTGAGAAAGTAATTATAAAGTATTGAGCTTACAATACATGGGGCTTGGAAATATTTCATAATGGAGGCCTGATGGGATATGGAGTAATAATTAATTAAAATTTTTAGTTATTTCAGTTATTTAGTATCAATTGTTACTTGCATTTAATTTTGAAATTCTAGAATGGTTTGTTATTAATTTCTAGGGTTAGCTTGATGCCTATAAATAGCAACTCAGAGCATATTTACTTTATAGACTTTTGATTATGAATTGAATAATATTGAATATTGAGTTTTTCCCTTTTCCCTCTATTTGTCTAGTTTCCCTCTCCTATCTTGTTATCCTCTCTCCTCTAGTCTCTCTCCTCTCCTTCTCTTTCTCTCTTTTCTCTCTTTCCCTTTTTATTTCCTGCATCAATTAGCATCAAAGCCTGGTTCCCACTATTAATGTAATGGGCCAGAATACTGGGCCCTAGGCCCAATTTGTGTTACTTAACAGCATCTAGTTACACTACAAAAAAAAAAACAGCAAATTAGTGATGAAATTTTTGTACGTAGTCAAAATTAACGATGGACTAGTGACGAAATTTAGTTAGTGATGAAATTTTTTTAATCACTAATTCCATCATCACTAATTATTTAGTGATGAAATTCAAAATTAGTGACAAAAATTTTTGTCCCTAATCCATCGTCATTTAGTGACGGATATCTAATGAAAATCTTATCACAAAATAGTACTGGATTTGTATGAAAATTTCATCACAAATTAGGGATGAAATTTTCGTCACTAGTCCGTTGCTAAAATTTTTTTTATTCTGTAAATTTAAAATACCATGTGGCAACCATCACCTCATCACCTCCTCTCTCTCCCACGCCACCACATTATCCCCTTGTCTATATCTAGGGGCGTTCAAGGCCGGCCCGTCCCGATTGGCCCGTTCCGGTTCTGGTCTTATTGGGACGGGACGGATTGTCCCGTCCTAATAAGACCGGAACCCGTCCCGGTCCTGTCTTGGTTCCTTTTTTTTTTTTAATTTTTTTAATTTTTATCCTATTTATATAATATTATTTTTTTCATATTTTTTTAAGATTTGAAACTATTGTATGGAACTATGGAACTATGGATATATTTCTTTAGAGTTTTTATATTTGTTAATGATTTGAGATTATTGATGATTAGAATTTTTATCAAGTTTTTATTGTGTTAAAAGCTTTTGTTTAGAGTTTTTAATGACTATTATATGTAATATTTTGAGCTTTTATTTAAGAGTGGCCAAACAAATAAAAAAGAAAATAAAAAGATGTTTTTATAAGGTTTAAGTCCAAAAAAATATAATTAAAAAAATCAGATTTATTAAAAAATTTAAAAAAATAAAAAATATTCGGGAAGTCCCCGATCCCGTCCCGTTCCGTCCCGTCCCGACCGGGACCGGGACAACCCCGGGACGGGCTGGGACACGGGACAGATTTTCTGTCCCATTACTGTTCATCGGGACGAAACTGGGATGGGAATGTCCCGGTCCCGATTCGTCCCGTGAACAGCTCTATCCATATCATTGCCATGTGTTCGTGACCACCACCTCACCACGTCCTCTCTCTCTCATGCCACCACATCATCCCCTTGTACACGTCATCACCATATGTCCATTATTATAAGCTATCATGTTGTCACCTTGTCCATGTCATTGCCATGTCACAAATTGAGCCAATTTGTGAAGGAGTGGTGATTCGAGCCCAAAACCTCTTGTGCATGTGCTGAAGCCTTTGCTAGTTAAGTTTAAGCAAAAATAAATATATATAATATTTCTGATGACAAATAAATACATATAATAAATATTATATATAAATTAAATATATTATTTTTATTTCAATTTAATTTTTGTATTTTATTAAAAATAACTAATTATTAATATTTTTATTCAAATATTTAATAAAATAATAAGTATATTATTTTTTTAGTTTTATTTATAATACTTGTATTTTTATATTTTGGTATGTTTTTGAAAAATTATCATATATGATATTTTTATTTTAATAATAAATATTAAAAAATAATTTTTCTATCAATATATATATTAAAACTCTTCCACCAAGCCACTTTTAAAAAAGGCTTACTCTGGGCTCCTCACTTAAATTACTGTTCACAAGCCATCATAAATTATGTATGGCTTGCATTTAGGATTCTCGGGCTTCGTGCTATGTGGCTCAATTAAGTGGCTGCGTGCAACTTTATTTTAATAGGCTTAGAAATCTGGTCATAAAAGACATTAAGAACATTTTTAAAAGGCATAAAACTAGAAATATTAATTTTTAAGGCTGCTGAAAATTATTTTTTAAATTATAGATAAGTTTCTCTTAAAAACAAAATCTTAACACCATCTTTTCTTATTCGCTATAATCTTATAAAATTTTTATTTTGAAACTTTCTTTTCTTTATTTTAAATACAAGACAAGAATTATGGTTACAGATAAGATATTTTCTCTTCTTCTTATCTTTTTAAAACATTTATATTAATAAAAATCAAAAAATTATTTTTTGAAGGTTGTTGAAGATTATTTTTTAAATTATTCCATATCCTTTGAAGTTTCTTTTAAGAACAAAAACTCAGCAGAAACTTTTATTATTCAACATAAACTTGTAAAATTTTTACTTTGTAACTTTCTTTTCTTTATTTTAAATACATGACAAGAATTATTGTTGAAAACTAGATATTTCTCTTTCTTACCTTTTCTAAATATACAGTAATGAAAGACTGGAAAAATTATTTTTTTATAAGGTTGTTTTTTTACCAGCATTTTTTATAATGTTGTTGAAGATTATTTTTCAAATTATTTCATATCTTTTAAAAACCAAAACTTAGCACCATCTTTTATTATTCACTATAATCTTATAAAAATTTTAATTTGTAACTTTTTAATTTTAAATATTGAGAAAATAGAGAAAATATTGGAAAAATTATTCTATTAAGTTGTTGAAGATTATTTTTTTAATTATTTCATATCCTTATAAGTTTTTCTTAAAAACAAAATCTTAGCACAATAATTTATTATTCCCTATCATCTTATGAAATTTTTATAATTAACTTTTCAGAATATTGTTAATATAAGTTATAAAATTCAAGTGTAATAACATTTAAAAAAAAAATACACAACACCCAAAATAAGGAACGGAGGTGGAGAGGAGAGGAGAGATTGTAAGAACATAAATAAAAAAGGTTCGCTTAGACTAAAGCCCTTTTCAAGTTTTCGAGTGTTTTCAGCGGGAAGCCAAGCAGATGGGAGATGAGAAGGACACAAGAGGGCGAAGCAGCATTCAGAGTCGCAGTGATGCAGAACTGTAGAAGGCTGAATTGCAGGTGCAGAGACATGCAAATGGAGAAGAGGCCAACAACTCTAGAGGCAAGAGAGAATCTATTTCCGTTTTGGGTCGGTCCCTAGAGAGACAATTCCATTCAAATTCAAAATTCAAACTCATTTGACTGAGCAAATGTCTTCCCTCCTTCAAGCATCAAACCCAAAAGAAAGATTGCAGAACGTTGTGATCAAATTTCTCTGCCCCACATTCTCATCTCTCTAATCCAAGGGTTTTCAAATTTTGAATACCCTATGGCGCGTTCCATCTCAGGTTTTTGAAGCCTCTAACCCCCTCCTCTGCCATCGAATCTCACACAGGCAAGTGGGAAAAGTTATGTTCTTCATTTTTGTCTTTGTTTCAGATTTCCTTTTGGTTGCTTTTATAACCGTATCTTTCATCTGGGTTGAAGGTGGATGATTTTGGTCTTCTTATTTTGTTAGATGATTCTAGTCTTGGTTTTAATGGTTTGGTGAGGACCCGAGTGGGGAGTTGGCTTTATCAGTTTTAGAAATGAATGGGCAAATAGCTATCATGCGAGGAGGCGCAGGTGGGGAGCAACCGACGAGGCAGAGAAAGAAGGCACCTTTAAAGCTAGATAAGTCCTTGTATCAAGTTTTCTTTGACTACCTTTCTCCCTCATTACAATCAATATTCTATCCTGAATGCTAATAAAATGGATTTTTTGAGTTTAACCAAGAATGCACGCTCCAAAGCATGTTTTCTTATTGTTTCTTCAAATTTTTTGTTCTTCAATTTTGGATTCTATTCTGGGCAACTTTTCTTATGGGAGTAATTCATTGGTGGTGAGTCTGGATACTTATGTTTCCAATTTGAGTTATATGCTTCTTGACCAAAAAAAAAAATTTGAGTTATATGCTTCTCCCTCCTCTACTTTGTGAAAAAGCAAATCATTAATAATATGTACAGTATTAGTATGATATGGATGGTTCAACTTTTATTAAAAATCTCTTCGTCCCATTCATCATTAATGATCATTCCTGCAATTTATTCACTTTTAAAAGACATCATTTTTTTAAAAATTATAATCATAAGTTTGAGTCATTTGACTCATTTCTTCATATTGTAAAATCAATTCTATATACTAAGCAATTGGTGGAAATTTTCTTGAGTGAAATATACTTTGTTTCAGGCTAATGCTTATGTAAAGGTAAAGGGAGCAATTGCTTGAAATTTTCCAACACAGGCAAATGAAGGTAGCAATGTCATGTTTCTCAATCAAATCTTGCTTTAGTTTGGTGGCAATATGTTTGGAATCTGCTCAGCCCTTCAATCTATGGTAAAATGCTTCTTCTTTACCAACCTTTTTATTTCATTACATTCTGAGTTTTTTACAATATATATTTTTCTGTACATATTCTATCACATTTTATTTAATTATTTAATTAGTTAAATCATTCATCTGGGAATCCCAGATTTGCTGATATATAGGAACTATACTTTAGTTTCATTAATTGAAGCTTAATATTATTATGTATCTTTGAAGACTTTTTAATGTATGGGTTAAGGGTTATATATTGTTGTATGTATTTTTACATGTCTTTCATCAATAAAATTTGTCTTCAATTTATGGCTTATGTCAAGGTGGAGGCAACAATTCTAGAAATTTTTTTACATAGACAAATAAAGGCAGCAAAGCACAGCTAAATTGAACATTAATTTTCTTGCTTATAAATTGAGCATTCTGATATCTTTGACTTGTCATTTCAGAGCTTCAAGTTCATGTTGTAGAGATGTTCACAAAGTAATGAGTTTTTTTAACCTCCATGTCTCTGACTCCTATTGGGACTAGATTTTTACTCGACCACTGATGCATATGACAACATGTGCATGATTTGTTTTGACTTGGATGCAGTTGACCCTCCGTCATTTCAACAAGAATGCAAATGGTTTATTTGACCATAACTAAATCTTTCTATATGAAAGAACTCCTATAACAGATAACCTTTCATCTTGCTGGTCACTTTTTTGGTTGCTCTTCTGCTTTCAAAGGATTAGTTTTATGGTTTTCTTAGATTTTCAAAGTTGTAATGTAGAGTGTACCTTCTCACTTGCTTCACTCTTTGGGGTATGCTAAAATTGACTAAGGAGGATGTAAAGGAAACTAATGTGCAGGGTAGGAAAATGTTGCAATATCATCATCGTTTGCTTGAAGTTAAATCGTAGGTTCAAATATGCTTTCTACTGATTGTACTTTATGCCTCTTGTCTTTTAATTTTGTTTAACATTAATTTCATATTTAATATATGAATGTTTTTGAGTCTTCACTCAAAAAAATAAATGAATGTACTGAACATTTAATTTACTTGCATATACTCCTTTTTTTATTATAACTCTTGAATCTTGAATATACTACATTTGTAGATAGTGATTTTTAATTTAACTATTGAGCATTTAAAACATGTTCTCATTGCATTTTCCTTTTATGTTGGTTTTTTCCCTTCTTTCATTTGTTTCATGGTTGTCATTGTCATCTTTCACATAATGTTAAAACTTCTTTTCTCCTTGAGAATCTTGTGTCCTTAATGCATGCATGGTCTGTAAAGGAACATCTGAAATACTTACAGACAAAATTGTGCGTGTTTTTGCTGTGCATAGTCCTGCAAGAACAAATGAAAGCAAAAGGCATGGAAGATGTATGGCGAGAAGAGTTGATAGAGGACATTGAGCAAAAGATTGGGATTCAAGGAAATGGAAAATGCAAGAAAGAAAGTGGAACTTGCTTACCAAACATCAATTTTTCCAAGACATTCTGAAATAACTTTTCCCAGCATCATTTTCCGCGGCTAATATCCAAGCAACTTATTCTCTAGACTATTGGTCATTCTGTGAAAAGCTTTGTTAATTTATTTTGCGTGTGTTTGCAGCTGTTTGGATTATTAAGAACATATGAGAATATGGTTTGGATTACTTAAAATCACATTGTGCTTGCCACATGTTAGTCAACTGATAAATAATCTGGTCCGAAAAAGTCAGTGAATATGAGGTTTAGTGTACAATGAATTTGAGATGAGAAAGGAATCATAATCTCTCTGGTTTACTCTATTTCTTCTTCAAATCCCAATTATGGACTCACTAACGCTGTGTATGACTTTGTTATTCTTGTACTACCTTATTACATGAATTAGTGCCCATGATTATGTTGTATTTTGAAAGATATGGTTGAGCATTTTAGTTTTTCTGATTGGAAATACTGTATGTTGAGACAAGATTATGTGATTTTTTTTTTCCCAAATATTTTCAATTTCAACTCATTTTGTTATGTGAGATTTTTCTTGGCCGTTGTGCTTGTGATATGAGAGTATAATGTCTAACCTCACCAGTATGCTTTTCAACATAGGTCCAAATGTCCCATCTTCAGTAGCCATTAGAGTAATGATCGGGGATGGTATAATTCGACATAAAACATTAAAGCAAGATTATTCCGTTTTCTGTCCTTGTAGGAACTGTGGTTTCTATTTGATGATATACATTTTTTTGAAGTTGATGAGTATTTAAGGTCAAATTGAAATTGTTAGTTGAACTATTTACGTTGATGTGAATTTCTGGCTGACTGAGGCTAATACTTGAATATACTTGTGTTGTTAGTTTGATTTGGGTTCTCTTCTCTAAATCTTCATTATTGTGGAGAAGTACAGGTAACAAGGGCCTTTCACTTATGCAGTTATTTTCACTAGGAGTATTTGCGCTGGTGATTTGGTCCATTCTGACATCTATTCTTGATTCATTCGTTAATTGTATTATGTAGGAACGAGCCTTAGTATTTTCAAAATGAAAATGGGGGAAGATGGATTTAAATGCTCCTTGATATCTATTCATGAAATGACCTTGATTCTAAGACTATAATAAATATTGTTTACAATGAGATTTTAAGAATTTACATAATTCATGAAACTTCAACATGGCAAAAAAAATGAAACTTCGATGTGAAATGTGTGCTCTCATTATAATTTTAATATTTGTTTGTATACCAAATTAGAGATGTAAAAAAAAATTTCAATTCGTGAGATTCTTCAATTAATTTTAATAAAAAATAACAAATTTTCAATTATAATCTCCTCGCGCATCGCGCGGGGTAACATATGCTAGTTTTTATAGTGACGAAATAGCAACTTTCATCACGAATCTTGTGACAAAATGTTTTGTGGTAGAAGTTAGTGATGGATTAGTCATGAAAATAATGATGGAACAATTCCATCACTAATTTTCACCCCCAATCCTTTTACAACAGAATTAGTGCTAGATTAGTAATGAAATTTAGTGACGAAATAAAGTTTTGTCACTAATCTGTCGCTAATTTAGTGATGGAATTTTATTTGGTCACTAAATTAGTGACAAAATTTTTCCATCACTAAATTTCATCACTAATTTTAGTGATGAAATTTGACATAGATCGGTGATGGAATAAAATTCTGTCGCTATTTATTCCATCACTAAATTTTATCACTAATCCCTTGTTTTTTTTGTAGTGTAACTCGGTTGAGTTATAAAACCAGAACTATTGTGCATTTTAATATGAGTCTTTCATCATAATAATAAGTTAATCAGTTCTCTTTGAACACATCTTTCTCCTAAATTTATATTCGTGCATGGTATCAAAGCCAGGCTCTGATACGACCTAGGAGGAGATTCTTCAGCCACGCCTTAGCACTTTCCTTCAATGAAAATAGAAATAATCAAAGGTATATTACATCATTAAATACTCCATTGATCTTAAAAGTCAGGTGCAACTGTAAAAATTCTCTTATGTGCTCAAAAGGATCCTTTGTTTTTTTGCCTTCAAATTGAAGCGTTTGTATCAGCATGATAACAGTTGGATTAATCTTAAAATGAGTAGTAGGAATCGAAGGTAGTGTGATGCTTGACTAAAGCACATCAACTGAAGGCACACTACAAAAAAAACATATGATTAGCGGCAGAATTCAGTAACAATTTTTATTTAGCAACGGAATCGTATTAGCGAGGGAATTTGTTTAGTCACTAATTCTTCTGTCATTAATTGGATTATTGACGGACTAGTGACGGACTTTTTTTGTTGCTAATCTAATTTTTAAAAAAATTAAAATGCCACATGGCGCCTCCATCAGTTGCCATCTCACCTCTGCCTATCACATGTTGCCACCTTGCATGTTGCCTTGCGCGCGGCTTTGCCAGTTGAGCTGTAATAAACTTTCTGATTTATTATGCAAAATTATATATATATATATATAATATTCTCTTACACAAGCAATTATATATACACATATATGTTATTAAAAACTAAAAATAAATTATAAGATAATTTTAATCACAACTATGTTTGTGACAAAATAATTTTTAAATATTTGTCTTACTATTTCTTTCATAATATTTTATCTTTTTAGAAAAAAAATTTTGGATCTAATATTAATTTTCAATGACCCTAATTTTGAATTTTAAATACTAAATAATTTTTTATAAATATATTTTTAAAATTAATTTTTTAATTAACATTGTTAAGATATATAATTTAATTATATATGTATTATATTATATTATATTATCTATATGTGTTTTATATATTTGATGAAAACCATTTATAATTAGTAAGAAAATCTTGTTATTCAAAAGATAGCTACCATAATAAAATCTAATAGATTATTCTATACACAAAACTAAATGATTTGAATAAATTATCATAAACAACATTCTCCTACTTATATATGTATCTTATATAATTTATTTTCTTAAATTTTTTTCTATATACCATTTGTTTTTGCGTTGAAAACCAAAATCAATCTATATCTTGGATATTAATTATATCATAAATTTCAAAATTCAAAAATTAAGGTGTTCATATAAATTCATTTTTTGGTTTTTAATTTCTATCATATATTACATCTTTCAATATATTGTATACATAATATAACCATTTCTTCATTATATAAATTTGCATAATAAAATTATTAATATTCTTATGATATTTATTTAATTATTATTAATAATCAAGAGGAATTGATTTTAATGAAATGTGAACAAGTTTTCCAAGAAATTGTCTTCCTATTCTTAGTATGTATCTAATGATGAGATACATGATAATAATATCTTCATTAAAACCAACTCCACAAATACATCAACTTATTTTACAATTGGAAATATATTTAAATCAATATAGTCTTAATTATGTTATTATATAAATTGTTATAAGATTATAGTCTAAAATAATAAAATTTAAAATTAACGACAAAATTAGTGATGAAAATTTTGTTGACAAACAATTTAGCAATGAAATTAGTGATGAAAATTAGCGGCAAAATTTTTCCGCCTCTAATTCCGTTACTAAAATTTTATAATTAAAATTTTTGACAGAATCAGTGACAAATTTCCGATCAAAAACTTATTGTCGCTAATTCTATCGCTAAATATTTACTAGAGGATTTTTTAACGGATCAGCCACAGAATTTAGTGACGAAATTTTATTTCCATCGCTAATAGTGACAGAATAATTTTTCATCACTAGTTTCATCAGTAATAAGCTGTTTTTTTATAGTGACAGTAGCTGGGGCTGTGGCTATGGCATCTCCATCTCTTCCAAAGCATGTGCCACGCTTCTAAATTCCAGCAGAAGCAGATAGAATCACAAGGGAGTCTTCGCGAAGCGAGGGCCCCGCGTTGCTACATTCAAATGCCGGCAAAAGCAACGCAGGTGGTGATATGGCCGAGGCATAAACAAAAGTTAAAAAAAAGATCCAACACACTGTCTATCATTGTAATGGCCCAAAGTATTGGGCCTAATCCTAGTTCTTATCAAGGAGTTTGCTTAGTTTACTTAACAGCGTCTAGTTACTCGGTTGAATTATAAAACCAAAATTAGTGCTCACTGTAAGCTGAATCTTTCATCATAATGAGAAGTCAATTAGTTCTCTTTGAAAACTTCTTTCTCCTAAATTTACATTCACGCACCGACTTCTCTTCCACTGCATCCAAATACATCCTAACTCTAAAACACTCCATAGCCGCTAGCCAAATGCGACATAAACTCTAAAACCTTTAGAATAATTGGCTTTATTATCTCTATTCACCATGCTACTTAGTTGCAAATATGGGTTATAGAGGATGTCTGTGTAGGAAGTGTCGATGAATATGGCACTCCATCCCAACATATTTAGCATCGACGTGATTATAAAAGTTTCCAAAGCTACAAATATGAGGAACGTATCACTATGGTCAAAATGAATATGCTGATGAATGATGATATGAATATGCCTATTGTCTTCGATATGAATAGGTTCATCAATATGGGTGTGTAGATCATCATCATGAGTATGTCAATCATTGCCATTGTGAATTTACTTTAAGAAAATGTTTATGTAATTTGATTTTAAGAAAAATTCATGTAGATTTTTAAAATAAAAGAGAGACATCTGTGATTTAGATTTGAATAAAGAAGAGGTTAGTGTATTACTTTGATTTTTTATATGGTAATTAATAATTATCATTGTCCGGAAAATAATTATTATCAAACTATAGACAAGAACAACTATTTACACCATCAACATGAACTAATTTCAGTGTTTATCATCTTGATAAGCACTCTAAACTCATAAGATCTAGACCATTTATATTTGATTTGAACAGTTCACATTTAAAATATTTAATTATTTATTTTTTAATAGAAAAATCTATTTTTTGAAAAATGGATAGTTAATAGATTATCTCTATTTTAAATTCTATACATATTAAAAAAATTATTTTGAATAAATAAGAATAAAAAATATTAAATCTGGACCATCCAAATAAAATATAAACTATACAAATCTGATGAGCTCAAAGTACTCATCATTTCTACACCCTTTTTACGCCATCAACCACAGTTCATACATCCACAGTATAACATATGGACACGAATTATAGATACATTTATTTTCAACTCACAAGGAAATACACACCATTTATATGGATTTCAGAGACACGAAACTGAGGGCAACACTGGAAAAGCAGCTCGTCAAGAGATATGCAACAACATCAATAGGTTGACACAATGAAAGGCATCCAAATGATCATTAAAACTATTGCCAATAAGTTGAAGTCATAAAATTTTCTACTTGCCAATGAAATTTGTCCATTCTTGTGCTAAATGAGATAGCGTCCTCGTAGAAGAACCATCTTCGCTTAGAGCTTTAGCAGCAGCATCTTTAAACACTTGAATTTTTGTTTGAAGTTCTCTGCCTTCATCACCTTCCATTAACATTTTCACAACTCTAGCAACTTCCTCTCTCATTACAATCCCATTCTTATTCTCATCACCTTTCGGCCTCACTGCAACTTTAAATTGTTCTGTTAGCATCACAGCATTCATCCTTTGCTCTGCAAATAATGGCCACACTATCGTTGGCTTGCCGTAAACGATAGCCTCAAGCGTTGAGTTCCAACCACAATGAGTCAAAAATCCACCAGTAGATTCATGTTTCAAAACTTCTACCTGTGGGGCCCATGATGGGACCACAAAGCCTTGACCTTTGGTTCTCTCTAGAAACCCTTTGGGCAAGAAGTCGAGGGGGTCCTCCTTTTGTGCGCTCAAATAAGCCGAATTGGCCACTCCACTGGGAGCCCTCAAGACCCACAAGAACTTATGGCCACTCATCTCTAACCCAAAGGCTAGCTCATCAAGCTGCTCTTGTGATAATGTTCCGCCGCTCCCAAAAGAGACGTATAGAACTGAGTTTCGTGGTTGATTTCCCAACCATGTTAAACACTTTGAATTGGACTCATCTATGCTTGTCGACATTGTCTGTATAATAGGCCCTACATGATAAACCAAAGGATGGTTATCACTTTCCTGTAGAGCTAGTGCTACCTCTCGTTCCAGATCTACGAAGCTGTTCGCTAGGATACCATCTGTTAAACGAAGTTGTTTGCATGCTTGAACAATTGTTTTGTAGCCTCCACTCGATCTTTCTAGGAATGGATCTGGGAGATCCTTTCCTTGAAAGCTTATGCAACCTGCACAAATTTTTAGATGTTATGCAATATTCAATTTAACTTGGAAGCATTTCCTCCAGAAAAATGTCTTTATGAAGTGAAAATTCAACATAAATTTATTTCGCAACCTGGGAGTTTCAAGGGTTGGGACAAGTCTCGGAACCCGGTAGGAACCATCTCATGATCCTCATCAAGCTCTGGAAAATGGAGGCACAAACATAGTGAAGTCGTTGAGGAAGGATATAAAACATATGACTTGAGTTTGAGTTCTTTCGCTATGTCTATTGCATCCATTGAGAAGAAATCAACAACCATAGCAACAAGGTGATAAGTTGGAGAATCAAATGAGCTCAAAGCATGACGAAGAGATGGAAGAGAGAGTGTCAAAGTGTTGTAAATTTGTGTTGGTGTGTCTTCATCTTTGAGGTCTTCCACGTTGACTTGAGGAAGAATAGTGAAGTCCATGTGTGGCGGGGCAGATTCCAAGATGGAAATCGTAATTGGAGAAGGTGGGCCAAGTGTAGGGATGAAGAAGATGAAGTGGAAGTGAGGTTGATGAACGGCGAGTCGTTTTGAGAATTCAATAAGTGGAAGGAGATGGCTAAAGCCTGGAGCCGGAACCATGGCTATGCAAGGCTTCTTTCTCTCCATGGAAGAGTGATATTGGAAGCTTGGGAAACTGGCGATGGATTTTTATTGAGAGCTTTTTATAGGATTTTTCTTTTTGATGATGCCTGTTCAAAGTTTTACCATTATAAGCTGGTCCAAAAAAGTTTTACCATTATAAAAGACAAAATAGACGGGACCCACAAAAATCAATGATGAGAAGTGTCATCCTCATAAATCCCTGGTTCTCTTGCCCCACGTTTTCTACAATACTTTCTCATCAAGGTCTTTTTGTCTTTTTGTTCCCCACAGGTCGTTTCCGTTTTTAGATGAAGGTATTTTATTATGGATTGTTTAAATATTTCATGAGGAACAATTGATATCCTTGAGTTTCAAACGATATTAGAATATGCAGATTGGACCCGCGAAACGTCAACAAGTGCCAATGTGGCATGCCTACGCGGAAAATGTCTTGGGTCAAAGGTGAATACCGCTTTATAACTTTAATTCTTGATATATAAGTTAGATAATCAATTTAAAACTACTAAAAAAATTAATAAATTAATTATTTATAATAAATATATGTTTTTTTTTAAAATTATCATATTTAGTCCCGTAGAATTCAATAAGTGGAAGGAGATGGCTAAAGCGAGGGGCTGGAACCATGGCTATGCAGGGACTCTTCCTCTCCATGCCAGGGTGATAGCGTGGGAGCTTGTAGACGAGCTAGCAACTAGACCCCCCTCTTTTTGCTTAATGATGGATGGATTTTGGATTTCTTTTTATGGCTTTTTATAGGATCTTTTTAGCTTTCCTTTTGTTCCCATTTATAAATATTAAAAAAAGAATAATTTTTTTTGTGACAAAAAAAAAAGAATAATTTTTCTTCATAGTAATATTGATTATGCATATTGTAACATTTCGGCTTTTTGAATAAAAACTAACTGCATAATTAACAGTTAGTTGAGGGCTAAACGAAATACTAACCTTAGAAAATAAATTAAAATTTAAAGTAATTTAGTAATTATAGAATTTGAAATGGTTTTTAGTTAATAATATTAGATTATCTTTGCCTAGAGATTGGCGTGTTACTGTCAACAGAACAAATAAAGAAACTTTAAAAGTCTTACTTATTATTTAGCTAAAACCTTTCACAGAGAGCGGAGATTGACTAGGAAAGTTAGATGCGGGGTTGTACTTCTGAAACTTTTTTTTTTTTTAATAATAACTGAAATCTTCCTTATAAGTAAAAGGATTAACCCCCCCTCTCTCTCATCAAGCCTAGCAGTACTTTTGCCACTCCCTATGAATAATGTTCCTAACATCATCATCCATGTCCCTGAAGAGGTGGTCCCCGTCACGTGCAGTTTATTTATTCTTCAATTAATAATTTTGCTCTTACTTAGTGAGATGTCACACCGGTTGAAAGCTCTGTCAATAAAAGAAGGGACAAAATATACGGCACTGATGAGTTGTCTCGGTCATCCTCATAAATCTCTTTCGTTCTCTGGCACTTTTTTCTGATTTCCCACAGTACCCTCGCATCAAGATTTTTTTTTTGTCTTTCCTTTGCCTGGCTTTCGTTTCTGTTTCTTTAAACGTGTTTTGATTCTTCTCAAGAAAAAAAGAGAGGCATTTTTATTCTTGAAATATGTCATGAAGAGCAATTGATATCTTTTAAAAACTGAAATGGTCTTGCATTAAAACCCTCGTATCCAACTTTTCTCTAAATTTCACAGTGTTTAGATAGAAACCAAACCACGATTTTAAAAATATTTTTACAATTTACAAAATAAATATATAAAAGAGTTTGTCTCGTTTTATATAAAAATGTTTTTAAGAAGGACTTTTGAGAGTTGCCAAATACCCTCGCAGAACCCCTCCGCACGTGCTGCTTCCATCCTGACGTACTGATCCGTCCACCTCCAAGTAAGTGCGGTTCCCATCCTCATTACTTACCTCCATTAACCATGATATTCTTTGAACGTTGAGGTTTTTTTTTTTTTTTTTTTGGGTAAGGTTTAAAGTATTTATTACTAGGGAGAAGGGAGGGGCTGGATGTGAATGGAGAGAGGTATTAATTTTTTTTGTGGAGTGCAATTTATTGAACCTATCTAACGAGTCAACGAGATAATTGAAGACGTGAGCAAAACGTGTTAAAAATCGAAACGTACCTCCATGCTGGGGCCACCAATGACGTGAAGGCCTGTAATTTGTATGCCAAATAATGGCCAGGCAATAACCTGCAAGAAGAGTTAGTACAAAGATATTTTGGTTCTGTGAGGGAAAAATTCCAAACTCAATTCATAGTTGCTTTGATGAAGGAAATGGGGAAGACTAGAGTAGCATAGCGGCAATTTCAAAGATAGTTTATGTGCTAAGAGAGAGTTTTTGAAGAGCTCTTTGTTTATGAGAAGTATTCAACAAAAAACAATGTAGAATTTCATAAACTCATCAAATAATAGGCAAGATTTCCTTGGATGGATAAAGCTAGAAGAAATGACCATTTTAGTCACAAGTTGACATCAAAACTCGTAATGTTTTCCAAGATCATGACTTCCTTCCAAAAATGAGTGATTCTGGATCTGTCTAACCATGTGTTAAGGATCAAAGCATAGGGCCAATGGCCTGTTATAACAAATAATTCCTGCACTCATATAAGCAGCTCTCCTCCATGCAGAAATAATTGAGCACTGTCATTTTTGACAAATTTACATGTGGATCAATCAGAAATTCTGCAATACGGAGAGAAAACAATTAGAAGTTAAACAGTATGTCCTTTAGTAACTCTGTGAGGTAAAATTGCAATATTTTCAAATCAATTGTCACTGGCGAACGTAGTCCTCATGGCCTTGGTTCTAATGCTTGAAGCTGGCCTCCAGGGTCCAAGTTTAGTTGCTGGAACCTTTTTTTTCCCCCCAAAAAAAAGGTCAATTCTCACCTAAGTAAAAAGTCTTACTCCAATGTGTTTCCTCAAGCAGGATAGCATTCAAGTCTCGAGTTAGTTCTGCAAAACCTTATCTGGCAGAAAAAGTACCAATACAAATCCAAGGAGGGGTAATCCTATTTCGGCTTACAGCAGCACAGAATAGACAAATTTTACATTTGCAACAACGCAGCAATCATCAACAAAGTTTATGCTTAACTCACTGTGAATAAACAGGGGAAATGCCCCCTCCTTCTATATTTTGAATTCCTAGTTTGACTATGAGGAAGATTTCATCCACAGACATGAAGTGTGGTTCCGGTCCCAACCAATGCTTCCTATCATGTTTTGCTGGCGTCAATGGTTTAAGCACCTGGGAGGATATTACCAGTGCCGGTTTGACCAGAACGAGTAAGCACTTCGAACTCTCCAGCAGTAAAAGATTGATCTTCCTTGAAAATGGGTCCTTTAAGTTCTACATACGCACAGTAGTCTGCTTCATATACTGTGGCATTCTTTAAGAAAGCAGCAAGAGCCACTCTAATTCATTCCCCTGCAAAGAGCACAAATCATTTACAATTCAAATTGGAACTCTTGCTACAAAAAAAAAAAAAAAAAAACGGAAGCAAATCAGATGACTGATTTGCATTTTCCCGAACAGTTAGGATCTATCCCCAGTTAAGTTGGTCAGTAATCAGTTTACCTCCTAGCGACAGAAGTGTATTATTTAGGCCCCTATGGTATATTTAAACACCCTTTGGTATTCAGCTCTAACAGATATAATCGTGTGTGTGACAAAGTGAAGAACAATTAGATTGTCAAAAGGATATTCACTAATACATTGAATAGTTTCAGTCTTCTCAAGCCATGTAGGTGACATTTCGAAACAGAGTATGAGCATAGTCCTAGTTTTAGTCTCACAGACATAAAATTGTTTACAATAGACTTCTAACGCTCAAACTATTAATTCCTATTTAAGAATCACAAGAGTAATTTCCTCAAAACCTCGTTGTAATTAAATAATAACATAGATCAGAAGAGGGTTCAATGGCACACAAATTTAAAGCAAAAGTGGCAAACTAATTTAGTGCCAAATCAAATAAGAGAGCAAACTATAATCCACCCTTTTTGTTTTATTAAAATCTTTATTCCCATGGTAAATTCTGTCATGCAAGGGGAGGTAAGAAGAAATCTGTTCATCATGAAAAGGTGCGTTTGCCAAAGGTTGAACGTAAAAGAAATTAGAACCTCACCATGTGTGACAAGCAGCAAGTTCTCGGATGATAATTATCTGCAAGGTCCTTAATCACTTGCTCATATCTAGCTCTTGTACCCAAAACTGGCTCTTCCCATTTGGGCAACTGGTGTTTATCAGGCAAAAATTCCATCAGTCACAATTAAAATCTGTAATTGCACAAACAGGTAACAGCCAACAAATTCTGAGTTCCAAAATATCAAGTCCTCAAGCCGTACTTCTTTATACGTCCTTTTTGCATTCTTATCCACTGTCCCAGCTAGGAGAATTGCTTCACGCTCTGCGACATCAAAACCCCAATTACCATCCTCGGGAGCCAATGCAGGACTGATAGCTTCTCTGCTCATCATCTCGCACAATCCAAGTTCAACAGAGACCTAAAGTTGGTTAAGACCAATAAGAGAGATAACTTTAGCACCTTATTGTTACCAGAAATTATTACTCGCATCATAAGTATATAAAATAAAGACACTCTCAATTCTATATATTAATCAAACCCATATTCTATTACGTATCCAAGCACATTTAACCAAGAAGCCAAGTCTGAAATGTTACTTGAATATGTACAAGTATTTCACACACACATATATAAATTATAGTAATTTATTAGAATGCAACAACCAATCAGAGGTAAATCTGTGTGTGAGCACTATTTTCACCAAAAGATTATTCCAATCATCCAATACACATGATTAACTAGTATAGTTTAGGATATCAACATACATGTATGACAAATAACCAGCTTAACTAATTTTCTTAATATTCAAATATAAGAGGTAGATAAATAATTTGGGAAGTTTATAAAAATTAGTTAAATTAGCTATTTATCACAAATGTGTGTTGATCTCCTTAAGCTAGCCTATTTAATTATGTGTACCCTTTGGTAGTAATCTCCTATAATCAATTGGGATATTTTGGGAGGAAAAT